AAATAAAAGGAGAATTGTTTATTAATTTAAACATACGATTATTTTATGAAGCAGATTGCAGTTTTGTTTTTCTGATTCCACTACGTTTGATTTTTTTTCTTTTCACGATAAATTTCGCACTCAATAAATTAATTCTTTTTATTCATAAATTTTATCATTAGTTTTTTTTTTTTTAAAATTCCGTTGATCTTGGCTTGTTCCGGGTTTCAATATTTATGTTAGTGCCTTTTTTAACTATCGTTTCGGTTCGATAATTTTCAAGTGTTTTTATTTAGATTAATAAGTTTTCCTTTTATTTTATCGTTTCTCCCGTATAATTAGGTACGAAATATATTGCATTATTTAACCATTGGTTTTGTTTATATTAGTTAATTTAGGAATTGTAATTATTTTTAAAAAATAAATACGAGAATTTTGTATTTTTTAATCTTGTTTTTCTTGTCTAAACTTGCAAATTTCTTTATTCTTTTAAATGTTATTTTTCTCTTTAAAGTTAGGAATACCTTTCTTTTTTCTCTTACTTTATGCATTGCACTCTTTCCTTGTAATTCGGGTTCGATAAAACATCGATTAACGACACTTTTTGGTCGATCCAGAAAACCGGGTAATTCAGACATCCGGGATAGCGATGGTCCCGAGCATCCCGGATAATTGATTCTCTACTGTACTTAAACTTGTATTGAGATATTTTATCAATTCAAATATAATAAAATTGGCGTAAAAATGCAAATGATTCAAAAATATGTAAAATGGAACAACAAAAATATATAAAAAAATATCAAAAATTACAGCGGTTGAAAACTAACTACTATCACACACATCTTCCTTTTCAACTGGATACATTAAAAACAAGGGACGTCAAATTTTTTCATCTATTTTTTTGTACTTTAAATATTATAATTTTGTTAAGTTCAAAATAAATGTCAATGTAAGCAGATATTATAGATTATTTAATAATTTCCATATTAGTGCAACAGTTCTAAAAACTACAGATAGCGTTAGCCTTTGTTATTAATGTACCCTTCTCATAAATGGAATTTTTTTCTCTCCATCCGAAGGGTGTCCGCTAAACCGAAGTTTCACTTTAAAAGCTAAAAAATTACATTTGTAGTGTCTAACCTAGCTTAACAACAAAGTATCCATAGCCTTCAACTAATAACTAAAAGCACGAGAGCTTCAAACGAAAAGTTAATACGAAGTGAGGGGGGGGGGGGCTACTGCTGAAACTAAAAATCACCAACGCCGCCAACAACATTAAATAAGAATATTACACAAAAAGCAAATATATATATTATGATATGCAAGTATAATAGAGCATTCATAAAACAAAATAAGACAATTAAACTAAATAAAATTTCAAAATTAACAATAATAATATTTTTTAGAATTATTTCAGAAAAAAAAACTTTCAAAAGCAAAAGCTTTAGTGGCATCAGTATTCACAATATTAGAAAGGCATTGATCATGATAAAATTAGCAGTTGAGATAAATGATAATGTCAAAAAGTATTATCAAATAGTAATGTCAAAAATAGCACACCTGGTAATAATAATACGAAAAAGAGCAGCAAAAATAAAGGACAAATGCTCATTAAGAAATAGCATTCATAAAATCTAATTTAGTTTTTTCTAATGCTTAAAAAATTTTTTAATTTGTGTAAATTTATTCAAAAATTCAAGCTATGTAGTTTCTCTTTCTGAATTAGGATTTTTATTTGAAAATTACATTTTATAAATTCATGCAAACTTGTAAAATCCAACTCTAATGCAGTTTTTTTAAAAGATAAAATCTCATGTAAAATTACAAAAATACTTATAATTTCTTATGCAAAGTAGACATTCGGTAAGTGAATACAGTCACTTTTTAGAAATGAATAATGATTGCATTATAGATAATATGATCACATTAAAGAAAGGCCACCACAGCAATAAACAAAGGATTATGAAGAAATTGTTAAACAATGCATTCCTGTACATAGGTGAATAAAGTAAAAACTATATAAAAGCACAATCTGCCAAGTAAGCATAAAGGACAAAATATTTACAACAAACTAAAAATATTTACATTTTGAAAAATAAATTTAAAGAAAATAGGCAAGCAAAAAAACCTCATAAATTAATAATTTATGGCCTGGACAATTGTTAAACACCTAAACAGTGCATCTCAAACTGTTATGCTGACAAAAATTTAAGCAAATACAAATTGTTATTTCTTTTATATTGAAATGTAAATTTGTTATATTTGTTCAGATTTTTATCAGCTGCTTAAGCGTGCATTAATAAGAGATAGCTTACATTTATTATTCTAAATAATTGTTTACATATGCATTTATATAACGTATCAATACACAGACATTTGCACAACAAAATGGAGTTAACTAAAAAAGTAAAAATTTCTATTAAAAAAAAATAGTTAAATAAACTAATAAAAGACATACCTTGTTGGATTGGTAGTACAGCACTACTAAATATCGATTACAAACATTAAAACCAGACAAATGGTCACATGCATTTTTTGCATCGAAAATATCTTCATAAACAACAAATGCTGTTCCTCTTGTTTCAGGTGTGTTTCCACTAAAAAAATATTTCAAAAAAAAAAAAAATATGTTAATAACATTGTTTATTTATTAAAAATAAAAGTAACCAAACAAAAGTATAAATAAATAGTACTAATTAACACTTAACAAATAAGAACTTTTCGCTAATGAAAAAATTTTCTGTAGCTTTTTTACATAAACAGTATTAGCCTTTTTTTTTTATATATTTGAAATCAGAATTTTCTCCTTAAAAAAATCAAATTTATGTGTTATGAGATACAGATTTTTATTTCAAACAGTGATTATATCAGATATCTGAATTATATTTCAATTCAATTTGAAAGATCACAATATTTTGTAATTAAAGTGTAGGGTTAATTAAATTGTCTGCATACATGTGAAATAAAATATTTTATTTTTTAAATTTTTTATTTTTAAATTTTTTATTTTTAAATATTAAAATTAGAAAGTGTATAAAAAATACCCATGACAAGAATATTCATCTGACATATCACTTTCTCAACAACAGTGTATAACTTTTTTCCCCCTTCATAATTAATACTGCAATGAGGATTTGAAATGACAGATCATACATTATCAGAACACAGTGCATGAGATAGGACATGAGAATTTAAAATGTCGAAAATCTTAAAATAAATATCTGAAAGAAGAAAATGGTTGAACAAATAACTGACAGCATATGGTAATAACTATGGAAGATAACTATGAGAGCAAGGGCGCCGGCAGAATAATATAAAAGGGGGTGCAACCCACTAACAAACTGATCCCCCCCCCCAAATTGGCCTAACTCTTCCAGCTACTAAGTGCACTATTGCACACACTTTTAGTACAATGCGAAGCATCAAAACATGGAATCAGTCTACAATGTCTCATGAGAGATTAAGTAGTTTGTGCATGCTCAGTATGCATAAGAAAAGAATCAAAGATGATTCAGAATTCATTGAAAACGTTATAAACAGATTTGGACAGCAAACAAAACGATTATAATTCTTGTTTGATTAAACAATTCTTTAATTGTTTATGCATCAATGATTACTTAATTATTTGTTTTTGAATAAAAAATTTTTTATAACAAAATTGTTTTTCTGTATCTCTTTAATTGTTTTTAAAAAAAGCCAGGGGGATGCAAGTGCACCTCCTTGCCGGCGCCCTTGCATGAGGGTAAAATAAAACATGTTATACAAAGTAAATGTTCTTTCTGATGTTATTTGAAAAATTGGCAGAATAAACCAATATTTTGTTTTGAATTTCAGAAACTGGGAAAAAGCTCAGTCACCTTTAAATTTATTTTAACCTATGATATATCATCTGCTAGATAATGTGTCTTCTAATAATAGATCAGATACAATATTAATAATCAATTCTAATTTTTCTAAAATTTACATGCTTTGCAGATATTTTCTTTTCTTATAAAAATAATTCTAAAAAAGTAATAAACCTATTTATCAACTATGTTTTAAAATAATGGATATTATTTACAATAAGTTTTCTTCAGGAAAATATTTTACGCGCAACAAATTTAAAAAAAAAATTATGGTTGCTGGCCTTCAAGTAGCTACATACTTTGAGTTCATATCATTCTGTGACATAATTATTTCTTTTTAGATTTCTTACATGCTACTGCACAGCTATCACCAAAGCTTGGACTACTTTGATCCAGGAACCAAGTACGGAATTTTTTTTGCTTAAGAATCGATAAATAAAAACTTTTGTGTGATTATGGGGATATCGCCGAAGCATGATCTATTGCGCCAACAACAATTGCCAAGGTGTCAAATAGATTTTTTTTGGAGAAAAACATGTAGATGTTTGCCCGGAGTGGCTACAAGTTAAAATTTTCGAGTTGGTCTCTTTCTATGATGTTTTTACTTTAAAATCTCGTGGGCCGCTGCCCGGAAATTGACAAGACCTGGCAATCCTCCACGGCTACGAGTTATATCTTTCAAATTGATCTCTTTTTGAGATGTTCTTTAAGTTTGTCAAGGGCTGCTGAGATGTTGAAAACTGCTGCGGTTCACGAGACGGAAATCTTTCTGTAATAATCACTAAACTATTTAAACTCACAAAAAAAGAATAATAAAAAAAATCTTACAGTCGAATTTGTCTGATTGCTCCATATTTGCCAAATATGTCATACATTTCTTCAGCAGTAATTTTGTACGGTAGATTCCTTACGTAAAGTATTCTATTCACCTCTGGAGGCAACCTCACCTAAAAAGGATAAACAAAATTAAATTGATAGAAAGTATAAAGAAAAATGTTATACATTTATAAACCATAAAAATATCATTAAAAGTTATAAAAAGTGGTATCATGAAAATCCTCATCAGCCGCACTATTTCGGTGATACGATTCAGTCAAGCTTTCAGAAAACCCTAATTTGATAAACAAACACTTACATTAGTTTTCCTTTGCATAGCCATGATTAGTTTTCGATCAGTAACTTAACAAATTAGATTTCTATTTGAGTCTTAAATTCAATACTTCAAACCCTTACAGATTTGTCATGGAGATTTGTAAACAAAAAAAACAAATTTATTGAATAAAACGATACCAATATTCACGTAATGTTTAATCGTTTAACTTGTTCTATCGATTGGAATTTTCTGCTTTTTTCATGAAAGTTCTTAACCAATAATGAAGTATATTTTTTTTAAATAGTAAATTAATTTTATTGATTCATTTTTTGTGCAAATTTACAATTATTATGGAAAAATATTATTTTTTGGTAATAATGAGCATTGACCAGATAAACAGTAATTTCACACACAAAAATTAAACGTTTCCGGTTGCATTGATTTTTGGCCTAACAAATAGTAAACAAAAAATTTAGAGAAAATCTTATCCTAAGATATTTCAAAATGAACTCATTATCAAATGTGCTTAAAAATACATTACGTGGTAAAAGTCTTCTACGATATAGGTTTTTATCTGTATGTAGCTCAAGTAATGCAGTAAGCATGAATAAAAATCACCTTAAAGTTAACTCCAATAAAATTTTTGAGGACAAGACGAAGGTCAGATAATGTTTTGAAATTTAATAATATTGGCATTTTCTTAATTCTTATAATCTAATGAAAAATATCTCATATGTCTCTATGAATATTTTAAAGGAATTTCTAGCACACATGTATATGTATTTCTTTAATGTATAAAACTATGGTTGACACAGTCACTGCATTTCACGCTAAACAATGATCTGTACAACCGCAACTAAACTGATTTTTTTTCCTCATAAAATATGTTATAAGACTGAAGTAAATAGAAAGAAATTTTTGGCACACTTTTTGCATAATACTTTAACTCTGATGCAGTGATCGGAACTAACGCATTATAAGTAACAAAACTATCATGCTCACTATTTGTTTTTGGGAAGCATTTCCATATCATGATCTACACTGCACTGAAATGATCGTCATGTCTTGGCAACTTCTGGGTAGTGGCTGTCAAAAACTAAAAAGAAAGAAGAAAAAAAATATTCCTCTGGGGACCAACTTGAAGGGATGATATTCCTGTATCATGATCTGTTTAGTGTTTTGCCCAGAAGAATCTGTTATACCCTTCAAGTTGATCTTTTTCTATGTTTTTTTTCCAAGACTTGGCTATTATTTTGTATGTAAATCATGATACAGAAATCTTCCTTCGGAAGGTATGGTATGTAGCTATCTCCGAGCAAACTTGTTTTTTTTTTGTTTTTTTAAAGTTTAAGTTTAAATTTTATTTGGCGCAACACGTTACGATACAAAAATATCCCTATTTTTTTAAGTTTGTAGTATAATGGGTCATTTTTTGAAAATGAAAATCTTGTACGAATTAATGCTATACAAAATAAAATCACTAGTTTGTAGCGATTCATCGCAACAATTTTTAAAGTCCGTTTAGGGAAGAAACAAGGTTCAAGCCTAATTAAGTATTCAAATCTGATTGCTCCAAAGTCTATCACTGGACTCAATGACGATGTCCTTCACTTCGTTTTTTTTTTTATCTGTTACGTTAACTTGGCTTAAATTAAACACTCAAGGAAATGAGATTTTTCTGTTTTTTTTTTTTTTTTTGCCTAACGTTTGAACGTGAGTGTTAATTGAATCCTTCAGCAAAATTTATATCCTAAAAGTAGTTAAGTAAAAACTACTTTCCAAAAGTAGTTTATAATAACTAAAAAAAATTAGTTGTATAAATAATGATATAGTTTGTAATAAAATAGTTGTAAATGTAATGTAGTTAATTAAAATATATATAGTTTATCCAACCACATGGTCTCTTGTTTTGGCTTGCATCAATAGTCATTAAGGTATTCAAGCAACCTTGGGAAACTATGGAAGAATTATGTGGAAATGTTATTATTGCCCTCCTCCTATTAAAACTGACTTGTTATCATTTTTACTTTCACTTTATTTATTTTTTATATACATAAAAAAACATTATTAAAGCTTGAAAACTCTGGAAACTCTATCTAAAAAACTCTTTGAGCTTCAATGAAAGAAGTTTCTTCAAACACAATTTCAAGTATTTTGTATCGAATAATTTAGAGAGAAAAAATTATTTTTGAATTCTGTTTTTTCTCTACTTAGCTAATATATATTTAACCTGTCTAAATAAAAAAAGGGTAGATTTTGTCTTATATATAAATAAAGCCAAACAACATAAACAAAGCACAAATATTGGCACAAAAGAAGATGTACTATAATTTCAATTCTATAAACATGGTTTGCATTTTCTTCTGTTAAACAGCACTGCTTTTCAGCTACTGACCTTGATTTCTGGGACTCATTCTGATTTTGAAACATTCTAATAATTTAGTTAATAATTTTTATATGTTTGGAAATTATTTTATTTCTATCTACTCACTCTACTACTACAATATGGGCATTGATGGCATCTAATTTTTGAGTGTAACTAAATTAAAATACACAGTCGCACTATTTGCCTTAATTTCAAATAATAAAAAAATTCTTCAATTTGCTAAACAAAAGAGGGGGAAAAAACGAGGATAAACATATTAAGCGCTAACTCCCAAACCAACAAACTAACCGGACTGGATGCAGGTGGTCAATGCAGAGCGAAAAAATAAATAAATTAATATAATAAAATAGACGCAGAAGCAGAGAGGGATAGCTCTTTAGGGAGTTGGGTCCCAAAGATGGTTTTGATTTTCAAAAAGTAAAAAATATTGGAGAAGTATATTTTTGATAAATAGGGTACTTCATGATTTAAGGAAGGGCAACATAAAAATGCAGGTAATAAGCAATTAATTATAAAATAAATTCATATTGCACAATTAAAAAAATTATCAAGCTTGTAATTAAAACATAATAATTTGTAAATGTTAATAATTATTCATAAAATATGCAGCAGTTGAACCTTGAACATACACATAGTAACTTACACAGATTAAGAACAAGTTTAAGTTTAAAAAATTGAAAGTTAATGAAGTTAAGACAGAAACCCATATACAAGAAATTAGAGTTAAATGGCAAAAGTAAAACAAATGAAAAAGACAAAAAATAAATATATAAAGAAACTAATAAATAATCTAATAATAAAATAAAAAACTTCAGGAGAGTATAAATTTGTGATAAATAACATTATCATATCTTGTACTTTTTTCTATCATGCTGAAAAAGGTAGTTTCTTATTGAACTCAAACTATAGTATGTCTATTTCTGTGTCATAGTTGTGCTTTATTCACATTATTTTTCTTTATTCATATTTAATTGACTAATGGACATTTTTCATAGTTATGAAAATAAGATTTTGTAGAAATTGATAAAAGGTGCAGTGAAGGTATCATAATTAAAATTAAGGTTTTATGTATAATATTTTTAAATTCTGAATTGAAGTATTTTGTAATAAGTTTTGTAGTTTTTATTTGTATCATTTTTTATTTCAGAGTTTAGTTTTACCATCGTTGTCACATGTGAGGTTTAGTGGCTCATTTCACATGCCATACACTCTGAGTCATATTGAAGAAAGAATCCTTTTGGTTTTAAAGCTTTATGATAAAATTAATCCAGATACTGTAAGTTGAGAATAAATATTTGTTTATTATTGATAATCAAAATACTAGTAAATTTCATAAAACTTTTACCAGTGCATATTAAAACTCTAATTTTGGTCAAAAATATTTTTTAAAACACAACACAATCTGTATCTCACACTCTTCAGAATCACACTCTTTTACTGAAAAAAGTTGTGATGTATTTAAAGCAATGACTTTTGATATGAATTGGTAAAAGTTTATTTAGGTCTTTGGTAAATTGAATTATCTTTACTTTTGTTTTGAACCTTTTATCCTTAAAAAAAAGTTACTTTTCATGTTGTTAATTATTTTATAGTTTATACGAAATTTGTATTTTTCAGATGAAACTGTAGTTCTAAGTTGGATGATAATATATAATAATTAGAAATGAGATTGATGAACCAATCACAATTTAACAAAGTCTGCTCCATAATTTTTCTTCATACTGATTATTCCTTTTATAGCTTATACTTGTTATTCACTTTTATGAATCTAAAAAATAAGACTTAAATAATTTTAGCTTCCTTATGAGTGAATTTCATGCATTATTCATGCATTGTATTTCATGCATACTCTTAATAAAAGCTAAGCAGTCATATTTATATGCTTGGAATTTAAATAAAAATTTAGCACAAAAAATATGGCATATCCCTGAAATTAACAGGATTTGTTTTTTGCTTTAAATTCTAACAGACCAGTTGCATTTTTCTAATCACATCAAACTCTACTTTAGCAATGGAGAGCAATTGTTGTCCACAACTGTATCCTGTTTAAAATTAGAAAAATGATTTCCAATTTTTAAAAGGAAAATGACTAGTAAGAAATTGACAGATAAACTTAGAAGTATTAACTTGAATATCAAACTAAAACTAAACTCAGTGGCGCAACAGCCCATAGAGGGCCAAGGCCTACTGTGCCCATCTCAGTTTTCATGACCTTAGGCTCTGAGGTACAGGAACAGATGTTCTGGTTAGGTGGTCAGCCGAATGTGGAACTCCCAGTGTCTAGTTCCCAAGCATGCTTGGTACTCATTTATCGACCCACTGAAGGGATGGAGGGCTGAGTCAACCTTGCCCGTCCCGAGGATCAAACCAGGGACCTGTGGCATGAAAGCGCGAGGCGCTATGAATATCAATGTAGGATCTGAATTTAAAGAACGAAGTGAAAATGTGTTTGAAATTTCCTATTTGATACGAGGGTTGCTATTTATATTTCTGGCTTTGGCAACAATAAGTGTTGCTAGGTGACCGCAGACGATTTTAATCGAAAGTTTGATATTTTTAAACATAAATTCGGCAGTCGATTTACCATTATAGCTTCATGTGTGTTGTTGACTGTAAATTGAAAAGTTCTTCTCTTTCAAAAAATGGAATTGAATCGTGAACATTTTCGTGCCATTATTTTTCATAACTTTCGACGTGGATTGTCAAGACAAGAGTGCTTCGAAGAAGAACTTAATTCTTTATTCAGCGATAAAGCGCCATCCTACAGCACTGTAAGAAATTGGTATAACGAATTTAATCGTGGTCAATGTTCGATCCAGGACGAATCCCGTGCAGGTCGTCCAAAATCCGTTGTTGTGCCAGAAAAGATAGATGCTGCGCGTGAACTGATAAAGCAAGATCGTCATGTGACATACCAAGAGATAGAGGCGTCTTTGGACATTAGTATGACTAGCATCAATAAAATATTGCATGAACATTTGAGCGCACCTCTTAAAAATTATTTATGGATCCCG